TGTCTCTGTGCTGCCTACGCCGCCCACATCTAGAGCCGTAGCTATGTACGTGTATCAGAAATAGATTTGAAATAACAGGAGTGACTGCCACAATCACAGAGAAACTATTATTAAAAATATTAACTTTGATTAAAAATGTCAGTTTTGAGAAGCTTTTAATATCTTCTACCAGTGCTAAACTGACATTAGTGACATTTCAATATTAATTTCTAAAAGTTGGTTTTCATTTGTGTCCTTATTTAACTGAACTTTAAATCTTTGAATTTATAAAAGTGGCTTTCATAAAGTTTCGGTTTACAAAGAATTTTGTTTAAAAGTTTATAATCAACTCTATATACTCTGAACAGATGTAAATGTTTTCCCAGGAGCTGAATGCTCAGCCATATTTTAATACAGATCATAATAACACCACGACTTACGTATACAGGAAAGAGAATTACCCAGTACTGAGATTTATCTCTTCATAAATCAAAATGTGCATTTATTTTTCCACTATTCCCAAGGAAGGTTACAGTTCAAAATTAAATTTACCCCTTGCATGCTGAAACTAGAATTCTGATGTCTACCTCAGAAAATTACAGCATTTGAACTGGGAATATAACTCAGTGGTAGAGAGGCTTGTCTAGCCTGCACAAGGTCCTGGGCCAGATCCCTAGCAGTGTATGCACACACACACACACACACACACAAACACACACACACACACGGGAAAGACAAAAGAAAAAAGAAAATCAGAGAGTTTGTTTTGAAAGCAAGAAGAAAAAATTGCCCCCTCTTACAGAGCATCTGGGGTCTGCAGGATGTTTCCTCGCCCCTGTGTGATGGGCGGAGTCCTTGATGGAGATACTCCCAAAGGGCTTCCTGAGACTTCAGACCCCAGGCCAGTGTGGGGTCCTGTGCCTGTACCTGTGCATGTATAGACACACCTGCAGGTGCATATGTGGACACGTGTCACATATTTTTTTGAAGTTAAAATAAAAGATGTTTTATGGAAAGGGGGGGGGGGGGGGGGGTCCTGTAATTTTCTCAAATGCAGTAAACATTCTCCTAAGGATCCATGATGCTCATGAAAAATGCGTTGGGGCTTCATTTCCTCCTCTCAATACTCCATTGCTGCCCCAAATCTCTCGAGACTTGACGTTGTCATTTACTTCAACACAGGAACCACTTCATTCTGCAGCACTCTCCACACCGACCTGGGCTCCTCACCAGCTGCATAGTTGGCATTGACGTTTCCAAGTGGACGTGTCAACTGGCGTTCCTGCTTTTGTCTACCTGCCGACTCATCTTCCCCTTCTGTTTCTCAGCAACTGATGGACTGTTAAAGAAAACATGTTGCATACACACAACCGAGCCCCAATGGTGGCACCATGGATGACAGTGGAGCACATTCAGTGGATCATGGAGCCGCTTTTCCCTCTAGCTCATCACCTGTTGTCCATGCCCCCAGCCCCAATTCCTGGAAAGCCGCTCCCCATCCTCACCTCTTCTGCCCTTACCTCCAGGCCCCATCCCTTCACCAAATACATAAATATGAAATAAGAAAAGGTGGCCCGTTCCCTTGGAGACAGAGGTCCCCTGATGTTTGTCCTGCACAAGCATTCCCGACAGAGCACTGACCCAGCCCTGAGCTGCAGTGTCACTCCCTACTGTCTTTCCTGGCTGGCTCCAGGGCACAGATAGCAAATGGTTCAACGAATGCCATTTCCACTGTGGATACCTTGTGAATCTTACTGACATGAAGAGATCCCCTGTGAAGAGGAAGGGGGACTCTGTGAACACCAGTGCTCTTCAGTTTGCTCTTGTTCAGCTGTCTTGCTTTTGCATGATCTTCCTCAGGCTCTTTTTTTCTTAACAATCATAATTAAAACTTAATTTAAAAACCACGATACTTTCTAGTCTTTGTCATGTTTTCTCTTGCATTTCTCATCAGAAAGAGGGGTTGTGAAGGTGATTTTGAACCTCTGCTTCTGTTCACCACAGCAGCCTGGATGCCCTGCCTTTGTGTGATGGCGGAGTCCTTGATGGAGATGCTACCAAGGGGCTTCCTGAGACTTCAGACCTCCAGCCAGTGTGGGGTCCTGTGCCCGTACCTTGTGCCTATGCCCCTAAGGGCTGAGAAATGAAATCCAGGCCTTCCGGGAAGAGAGGGCCAGGCTGTCTCCCCTAAGGGCCCTGGTCGTGCACACAGTCCTTAGGAACCTTTTGGTTTAATCATCTCACATACCAAACAGCTCATCCATCTGTCCGTCCCTCTCCCTAGGAAAGCTGAATGTGCCCTCACTGACACAATCCACCAGTGAAGTCCACGGGGAGCTGGAGGCTGGGGCAAGGACTCGCCAGTAGCGGCTCAGGACCTGAGCATATGGCCTGCTTAACCTCAGACGACTGACTTGACTTTTCTGGGCCTCAATTCTTTGGACTCCAAAATGGGACTCTCAACAGCATGAGTGTAATAGGGTGCTCTAGGGACTGCACAGAGTTGTTGGTGTTAAACTCCCCCGAACACTGGCTGCTACTGTTGCCTATTATTGTCACGACAGCTGGGAACAGCCTGGCTATGTGCTGTCCTTGGGACTTAGCATCCATGTATGCTTCTCTTGGTAAAGCCTGACCCATCACACAGTGAAGCATTTTGAAGTTTTATTGCTATTTTAGTCAAAAAAAAAAAAAAAAAATATATATATATATATGATTGATCCATAATTCAATACAATGATATACAATTTCAGTTCCAAATTCCATTTAATGATTTTTTTAAAAATCACTTCTCCTTTAAGAAAGAAATAATTTCTGACAATTTGATATTTGGGGAAACAAATGAATAGAAGCAGCCTCATAGATAACCACCTAATTTTCTCAAATCTCTCTTCCTGTGAACTTAAAACTCACTTGTTATCTCCAAAGAACAGGTCTTTGAGGAGTTGTTCTGGTGCTCATCAGAACTCTTTGGACGGTGGCACCACATTTTATCACAACTGTGTCATGCACGGTTATCAGCCACATGGCCTTCAAAGCCAGAAGTAGGGAGTCAAGGCTGACAGTATTATACTTGTTCTCTTTCAAAGTTATTCTTCTATTTCTAAATTTAATCAAATGCTTTGTATTTGATAGTGCAAACTACCATTAATTTATGAAATCCTCACAATCTTGAAGATTCTCCTTCTGATCTGGGTTCCAGAATTCTTTAGAAGGATTTCTCAAGGCCAAGTTGATTTTTTCTGATTTGAGCATCTTCATCTGCAAAATAGAGAGAACATTAACTTTACGGAATCCCTTGAGAGTTAACTAATATTTCAGATAAGATGGTGGCTGAGGAAGAATGTCAAAAGCTGTAAATTGATGCATAAATATGTGACTTCCATGGGTCTGAACATGTGTCCTAGTCAGGGTTATTTCTGACATGCAGGATAAGTTGCAAAACAGAACTCTTTTTCTCTTATTTCTAACTTAACAGTAAAAGTCACAAACATGCTTCTTTCCCCTCCTTGAACAAATGCCTTCTAGTGACATTTCTTTTCTTTTAAGGAAAAAAAAAAAAAAAAAACAAGGCTAAGGTGCCTATGGCTGCAGGAAAAAAGATACTGCCTTTTTTTTTTTAACTGTTTTCTTTATCTTTTCCACCCAGAAGGCTAACAAGAAAACTGGGCGCCTGTGCTTCCTCCTGCTTCCATTTCTGCACATTTTGGAATGACTTGCTATCACTTCTGGCTTTGAAAGCCCAGAGTCTACCCTGAAGATCTGACAGAGACAGAGAACTAGAAATAGTCTGAGTTTGTGAGCAGACTCCCCCAAGTGTTCTCATTTCTTGGTCATCAAATTGGAAACGATTGGACCAATTCGACATTTTATTCTCTTTGGCACTTAGCTCTATAACCTCAAGGTTCTGGGGAGAGTTTCTATTAATAGCGCATAGACATTGCATCTAATTTACTTTGCTTGACTTACCAATTAGTTCCACGTGTCCCCATCTTTGAGGCCAGCTTGCCATTCTTGGGAAGATGGACAGTAAGAAAGAACTGGCTATTTTAGAATTCAGTAAAATAGAAATAACCTAAGAAATAATTGGATCCTAAGCAGAGCTTTTCTCCCTCCTAGTCTTGAATCAGTACAGGATTTAATGAGGGAAATTTGCCTTCATGAGCTTGGATAGAAATTTTGGATATATAGCCCTTTGAGATGTATATACAGTTAGTCTTTATAAGTCTGATTTACGTCTTGTAGTTCTCCAATTATAACGTGTAACAACCTGAACCCTTATTTGCAAATGACAGGTATTAACCCTGGCTCTCTGGAGCAGACAAGGGCTTCACCAGAAGCATAGTGAAGCTCCCAGAGTCAATGGCAGGCCTGAGAGCAAAATTTGGGACCTGAGGGGTCAGTTTCCTTTCATGTTTCCTGGGTCCCTGTGTGGCATCTGGTGGAATGGTCACCTCTTCCAGGTTACCATTGGAAGGACCACTGTCTATTATTATATGCTAGAAGGACTCTACCACTGACCTTTACCCCCACCTCCCTAAAATGCTTGATTTTTTAAAGCTAATCTTGCCGCATCTCACTGAGGGGTCTGGAATGCCCCAGCACCAAACCTCTTCCAGTTTCACAGAGCAGCTTTAGTAGCAAAGGAGGGTTTTGTTTAAGTGGGATGCAGGGTGTCTGGGGGGCAGGTGCTTTGGCTTTGGTGTTATAAGGGCTCCACAGTGTAGTCTGTGTGATCTCTTCAGCTTTGATCAATATCAGCAGTATCCGAGTGTCCCAGTTGTCTACACTGAGGCAAGTCATGAGGTAGTTAGTTTCTTTTTAATTCCTTTATTCTAATTAGGTACGTATGCTAGGTACATGTATGGGGTAGTTTTTTGATTGCACTTAGATGTCAGCTTTCTGAAGTGCCTATCTTTGGGCTCCAGGATCAAGCACTGATGACACAGGGCTTGTGGCCACAGCTGCATAGTCTTGGGGTACAAGATGTGGAGAGGACTGTCCCCAAGTCCCTCAGGGAAAGCATGGATGACAGGAGTGCAATAGCACCAGCAGCCATGGTCCCCGAGTCGCAGGATGTGAGGCCCTTCCAAGGACTCTCAAAATGAGTACATGAGGTTCCTGAGCCTTGGGCAGTGGAGCCTGGAGCTACAGGATGAGATGGACCTCCCAGCTGACATGGGTGAGCAGAGGTCATAGGGCATTTATGTCACCGGTAACAAACTAGAGGTTGTGGGTCCCATGAGGCAACTGAGGGTGGCACTGGGGTTTGTGGGGCTGGTAGTCACCCTCTTGGAACTACCTCCTCCAGCTCCCATGGCACAAGCACAGGTGACACCAGCAGCTGTGGTCCCACGTCCGTGGCTGGCTCTCCTTAGGTCTCCTGGGCAAGGGCAGATAATGGTCTCCATGTTCCTGGAGGTATAGGACGTGGAGGAGAACTTTCCTGGGTTCTGTGGGTCACTGTGGGTAGTGATGGGGCTTGTGCTTTTGGTTTCCACTGTCCTGGAGATCAGGACATGGAAGGACACCAAAAAAGAAGAACAAGTCTCCAGGAATGACGGGAACAGGAAGCCCTGGGCCTGCCTTGCTCCGGATTCAACTTCCCAGGTAGAAGCACCTCTTAGATGGAGGCTTTGTCATGTCCCCAAATCACGCTGGCTACCAGGGAGTACTCAAGCCATAGCTGCTTCTCCGTCAATGTTGAATTAGTGGATTGTGGATGAAGTGACCATGCTTGTAGTCATGAAAGCATCCTTTGCTTGAGCCACTTAGAAATGTGACAACCAAATCCTGAATATCCTCTGATTTTATGGCATCTTCATGGAACTCATGTGAGTCGTAGATCATTGTTTCTGTTCTCAACTGAACTGCTGATTATAACTAACTCCATTCTATCTCCCTGCTGCAGTCCAGCTGCAGCAAAATAACCGGGGCGGGGGGTGGGGGGGGGGGGACGAGCAACTTGTGTACATTGATACAGCAGGAGTGGGAGCCATTTATTGTAGGACAACAGATGTATTTATACATTCCACACAGCTTGTCTAATTAACATAAACTAGATACAGCAGTCAACCAATAAGGAATCTCCACACTTAATGGCTTGCTGGTTCCACCTCACAAACCACTCCCTCTGGCAAAATGCCAGGCGCCATCTTGACTTGTTTACAGACTCTAACATCTTCCCCCCCAGAAGGGGAGCTGGATGATACTAAGAGGACATAGTTGTAATTTTAATTTGTTAACTTACCAGGTATGACTACTATTTTTTTCAATGTTTTCATGAATTTTTTTTAGGAGTGGTGGGCACAAAGAGCAGCAGAGAGCATTAAGAAGAAAGCTGAGTGCACAAAGAGGGTTTAGAACATGAGAAGGAAAAGAGAGCTAGTCAAGGTTGTTTTATCTTTTATTTTTCTTTTATTTTTATGTATTTATTTTTCTCCTAGTGTGGGGGACGAGCCCCAGGCCTGTGTAGGCTAGGAAGCATTCTACCACCAGCCTTTACCCCCGCCTCCCTAAAGTGCTTGACTTTTTAAAGCTAGTCTTGCCACATCTCACTGAGGGGTGTGGGATACCCCAGCACCAAACAAGGCCATCTCCTTCCCCCTAATTCACACTGAATGCCACACAAGCCTTAAAAAAAACACCATTTATGTTTATTTATTATTATTATTTTTCTACTTATTTATTATTAATATCATTATCGAGCCCAAGACCTTTCACGTGCTGGACAAGTGCTCTCACTATACCCACAGCCCCAAAGCACCATTTATTTTGAAAACTACATTCAGGTCTAAGCTGAGTTCTGTCCACAGTGACTATTCCAGATGTTCGCGCTTGGTGGGACAAGCCATCTTCTCTACTACCCCTCTCTTTGGGTGAGTTCATCCAGTCCCCAGGTTATAAACACTGTTTCTCTACCAGTGACTTCCACCTCCCTATCACCAGCCCTGATGCATTCCAGAAATCCAGGCTCAGACTTCCAGCTGCCTAACCGCACAGCCAACGCAGAGCTCTTGCTTTCCTCCAAACCTCTCCTTCTGGAGCCTTCCCCTAGCTACTTAGCCCAAACTCCATTGATCCCTTCCTCTTCTTCAGCACAGTGACTACCTGGCAGTGAGAATTGTGGTCTCCGCCAGGGAAACACAGCAGATCCAGCCAGACCTTCCGTGCCTCCACTTTCTCAGCTCAAGCCACACAGCTCTGGCCTAGATCATTGTGTGAGCTCCTAACTGGCCTCTTTGCCTTCTGCCTGGTCCCTTGAATGCACCCTCTGCTCAGCAGCCAGTGTTAGGAGTTTGATATTTTTAACCTCAACATGACGGTGTAGCTGATTGGCTGGATCCCAGGCCTTGGAGCCAGATGACCTCTATCTCCATCGCTTGTTAAAAGTGGGAGACCTCGGCCTAGTTTTCTCATCTGTCTACATTTTAATTTTATCATCTCTAAAAGATGAAAATAATAATAGCACTTATTTTATGGGGTACTAGGTTGATATGAAATTTAGTTGAGATCTTGTGGGACCCGTTGGAGCACAGAATCTTTCATACGGTGATTGATACATGCAACTGTATCTCTATTAATAATCTAAAATAGCTAAAAGTTTTATTATATTAAATAAGATAGCTGCTAGTTTAAGAGACAAATGAGGTATATTCAGCTTTATGTATAAACATGTAAAACATTTATATATTTGTGGCATGTGAATGCATGATTAAAACATAGGCATCATGGGATGCAGTTTGAAGTCTGGGCCCCTCTGTCATTTGCCAGTTTGCATCCTGATATTGGGTATGTCAAGCAAAATTAACTACACAAAACGAATATTGATCTGGTATTTTAAATTGTTTCTCAGCTGTTTTCTCAATTGTACTATGGTTTTATGCTAGTAGAAATAAACTAACAAAACCACAACTTTTCCAAAGAAGAAGTCATGATAGTATTAAATTCCAAATAAGAAAGAATAGCAAAGCTGGGAACTGGTCACAGGACAGAAGGTCTTAGGCAGCAAGGGATCCACCTGCCCTTGACTTAGTTTTAATACTATTTTTCAGCAGAAAGACTAAGTATTACCCTAGGAAAATTAGAATGGCAAATGTTAAGATATAACAAATATATGTTAAAGAGTAACCATATAAAAATTGTGAACAATTGCCATTTTTATAATTAAATGTCAGTTTTGCTGGTGATGTTACCTGACTTATGATAGTAGGGAACACCAGATTGGAAAATGTCTAAATGATACGGTGCCTGGAATACTATTTTTCATTTAAAATGATCTAATAATTGCAAGAATTAGATATACTGAGAAATCTAATTACATTTAGCAGACTGTAAGAAGGTCTGAATTAAAGGGCACACAGATAAGAAAATATAATCATTGGTATTCTAGACTTATGCTAACTTCTTAATATGGAAGCTTTCTGACATATAGAAAAACCAAAGTATACAGAGCATTGGTTATTACTTTAGAATACAGAAAGGAATAAAAGGAATCTTGTGGTTTTAAATCACTATATAAAAGTATAAAACTGATTAAGTTTGCAATACTAACCATAAACTGAAATTGAATCCCTAGGAAAGAGGTCCTCAGAGAGGAAGTAAGACATTGACCAGAAGAGACAATGACTATTCCTGGTGTCAGCATTGTCACCCACTAAGTGTGTGGGCAAGAGGAGAGTTGCAGAGGGCAGGTAGGCTGGCTCAAGCTCCAGAGGCTGCATCGGGTGAACTAAATTAATACCTTCTTTTCTTTGACTCTTATCATGACCTTCAAGGGCGGATGTTGTTAGCCTCATTTTGTAGATGAGGGAAGCAAACAAGGAAAGAAACCAAGGTCAAAGCCCTAATGACCTGGGGGAACTAAACAGATCTCTCTGCTTCAAAAATTATGCTCTTTCCACTTTTTCAAGCCTTCCTCTTTGCACACTCAGATATTGTGACATTAATTCCTGCATCTATAACTTTTCCCTCACCTGCATGAAAATACATATAAATAAGGGAGGTAGATATAGCTGATATCCACAGCACAGCTCTTCTTGGGGAAGGTGGAACTTTCTTTAACACATAATTTTAGTAGTTACATTTACTGATTCACAACTAGAACAATAAAGTCACACAGAAGAATCCCACCTCCCTACTTCCCTTTCTCCATACTCTTTCCTCTGCCTGTTGCAGGTGCATTTATTAGTTTGCATTTTGTGCTTCCATGATTCTTCAACTCAAGCAAAGGCAAATATGTGGTCCTTGCCTCTCTTACACTCTGTGGGCCAAGATGCACTCAGCTCCTTTCATGGTTTGCAGGCTGTCCTGGAGGTCCTGGGTCAGTCCCCTCTTCTCTTGCACAGTTGCACAAAATTCTATCATGTGGTTGGACAGTGATTTACTTGACTAATGTCCTATTCAAAAACAATTAGGGGCTGGGGATGTGGCTCAAGCGGTAGCGCGCTTGCCTGGCATGTGTGTGGCCCGGGTTCGATCCTCAGCACCACATACAAACAAAGATGTTGTGTCCGCCGAAAACTAAAAAATAATGAATATTAAAATTCTCTCTCTCTCTTTAAAAAAAATTAGGTTTTATTATTTTTATTTTAACATTTTGGTTATCTTTTAGTAGTAAAAATAGCACCACAATAAGTGACCTAAATCACCTACATAATTTCTTACACATGTTGCAACATCTGTTGGCAAGATGATAAGTAGGCCAAAGGCCAGTGTAGGTACAACTGCAAATCCAATAGACACTGTCAATCATTCTTCCACAGAGGCAGCACCATTTCGACAGTCTCCCAGTGATATATGAATAAACCTTTGCCCACAACCAATGAGAGAGGGTGCCCTCAAACATTTGGATTTTTGACAATCTGATGTGCAAAAATGAGATTCCAGTGTGGATTTTATATTGCTTTCTTAACAAGTGAGTGCTCTTTTTTGAACATCTTCTCATGTAAGATTAAGTGTTGTTTGGATGTTGTGTTTTGTGAACTCTCTGTCTAGGTCCCCTATTTTCTATTGTATGTATTGGTCCTTTTCTTCTCACTGTCTTTGCCTCATAAACTAAGGAAATTAGTCTTTCTGTCTGAAGTATGGGATATAAATAATTTCCCCAGGGTTTTAGTGTGTATCTTGCCTATGATAATAAAGCATATGATGCTTTATTACGATGTAAAAGTTAGTTGGGGGGCATGCATATGTTGTCAAACTCATCAAAAAATTATTTTTGTAATTTCTGGATTTTAAGCTACAATTAAACAGGCTCCATGGTTTAAAATGGATCCTCTCAAGTTCCTCTGGAAGCTTCAATGAATGTTAAGTTAGGCTTGGTGCCCAGAAATGGCAAGTAGTTGAGTGACAATAGCTGACTCTAATTCAGCACACCATGTCAGGTGACAGGAACGTGGGCCCAGGGCGAAGGATGAGGCCCTGGCCTGGCTTCACAGTGCCGCAGCCTGATCGGACTGATCTGTTGATGAGAGAAAGGCTTCTACAGAGAGCTGTGAAAGCCTGGATGTGGGGTACTTGGCCCAGCTGCTGGCCAGTGGGTCTTCTTGAAAGAGCAGGATGTTTTCCAACCATAGGAGAGAGAACGAAAGAGAAGGTCCCCAAAGAGCCAGGGTGCAAAACTAAATCCACAGCGAGGGTACACTCTACACAGGCTTTCGGCAGACGGTTTTGTTTGTATATTAATTCAACACATTTATTTCCCAAAGTGCTTGTAACGATAACTGGAAGTGGAATGCTTGGTGGTTTGATCTGCACTGTGGTCTAAGTATGGTCTAGAGGCCTTTCAGTGCCCTCTGTGGAGAACCTGGAGAATCTTCCTGTGACGTCCTAGTTGGGGCTGATTTGGATTTCCCCGACCTGATTAAGTCCTTCTCCAACACTGACCAGAGGTCCACCCTGCCATCAATTCCCTCTGTGATTCCTTTCTTCTTTTTTCTTAAGGACAGTGGATGCTCAGTAACCAAATTTACTCATGAGCCAACCAGCAAGAGGGCACTTCCCTGGCTACCATTTCCTTGATCAACCCTGTTCTGCTCACTGTAAGTGATAGAATCTCTGACAGAAAATGAGTACTTGGTAAAGAAAAGGGCTTATGGAGAGCTTATGTGGGTCCAAACAGGGAAGGTACCATGACCACTGTAGGGTACTGCTCCCCCGCAGTGCTCCCTGCTTTTCCCGGGTCCTAGGGTCTGCTCTCCTCTGCACACTGTTCTGCTGTTGCCTTCAAGAGCCTCCTGCATATGCCCATCTAAGTTCCTGCTCTATTTCTCCACCCTGTTTGTTGAAGATACCTGCATATTTACACCCATAATTTCTCACTGTTCATATGAGCCAGTTTGTTGATTTGATTCTCTTGTTTTTCCTTCCCTACCCTGGAAGATAATTCTCTGACTACTGGTATGAGGTCTAGTTTGTTCTCTTCTGTACCCCAGTGCCTGGCATAATAGGTACTCAATAAAACTGTGCTGAGTGAACCACACAAAGCACCACAGCCACTTTGGCCCTGCAAGGTGGCACACCCTTCACTAGGAACAGGGCTGCTGCTCCCCTGCAGGGTCCCTGATAGCTATCACAATTATGTACATCACAGGCAGTGGTGATAAAAATGCCACACTAGTAATGCTGTCTTCTCTTTTACATCACTAAGGGAAGTCCTAAAATATATGCCCAAGGGTTAAATTCCTACAAAAGCTCTCTGCAACAAAATAACAGTTCAGGTTTTTCTTCATTTGTCTCTGATCTCTTTGGGAAAATAGTTCAATAGGGGCCAGGTTTTACTCTGTGAATAAGAAGCAGCATTTAATTACAACAGACAGAATGGGAGCAACATTATTTACCTGAGTTCTCCAATGGTGCCTTCCACTTAATTGCTGCCGGCTGGCAGTGCAGAACACCCTGGTTCCTGACATCTGTGCGTTAGCTGTATGTATGTGGAAGACTGGCTTAAGGTTTTAAGATCCCAATTTATCATATGTAAAACAGCAGTGCTATTTCTTTGAAACAAATTGCTTAAGCAATTTAATATAACAACTATAAAGGGACAATGTGATGTTTTACTATCACACCATAAAACAAATCAGAACAGTACATTTAGTTGACATTGATGTTAGGAAGGACACAACACCAATGTCCAGTCCCAGATATGACAATTAATCTCATGCATTACAAAGCATGCAATTATAAAATAAAATAAACGTTGACTCTCAATGCCATGTTTTGTTTTGTTTTGTTTTTTTTTGGAAATGTCAAAGGGTGATGAAAAATTATTCATAAATTATGAGTTTTCCCACAGTGAAGCTCTAATTTGGCAGGTGGTTACCCAGGCAGCAAGCAGGAATAAGGAATACAACATATTAGAAAAGATTTCATAGGTGGAGGGTTGGTAGTTAAAAGCATATTTTTATTTACTGTTTGGGCTTTCTACAGTATGATTTTTATAATTTTTCTTAAAAAGAAAGCAAATTTAAGTTACATAAGTAACTTAAATGAGTATGGTTTTCAATTACATAATGCTACAAAAATCTGAAAACGTGAATGCAAAGAATAAAAACATTTAAGCAAAGTGTCACATATGCAATGATTTATTTCAAATAAAATAGGGACTTGGAAGGTTGAAGACTGAAATGCTTGCTGGTTCCCTTCCACTTTGTAGAATTTTGTGTGCAACCAATCTTTACAAATAGCAAACCCTGAGGGTTTAATCTGCTTCCATTAGTTAGACTGACGTTGTGATTTGCTTGGTTTCTATAAGTTCCAGAGTGCAATAAATGTGGAAGCAAATGAAGTGATGAAATATCTGGCCGGTGAGTCATTTATCCCAATAAATAATTGATATTCTAGTGTCTAAGACACAAGCTAGGTATCAACACCCAAACTCTTCCTGAGAATGTGTCATCTTTACCCAATTCACAGTTTCAGCTTGTGGGCTTTGGCATCCACCAGGAGCAAGTCCTCCTGCAGCCAGCCTTGCTGGCCAGTCCCTGTGCCTTCAAAGCACACACACTTTCACCAGTACAGTGTGGGAAGGGTGGGAAAGCCTGGGGATGGTACCTAAAAGTGGCAGTTACTCTAATAGAATAATGTAGACCACAGGCCAAGGGTTGTTGGGGAACGCTAATGAATGACTCAAGATTTCTTTCTGCAGAGAAGGAGGAAGACGGTAACATGACGGCTGAAAACTTAGGCCCTAAAAAATCTCTTAGAGTCCCTGAGACTGCTCAATGCTCCAGAAAGCACTTTAGATTATTTTTCTACCATTTGCTCTTAAGTACGTTAATTCATAAAATACTTCCATTAACCAAATCTTAACTTTGATAATCTAAAAAGAAATTTCTAGCATCTCCCAACTGTTCCCTGAGAGACACAGAGCAAAGCTTTTCTCACCCAGAGAAACCCAACATCCACAAGGGGAAGAGAGGCCAGACAGATTTCTACAGCCATCAGGAATTTGCAGAACAAAGCCCCTTGGAGGACTTCATGCATCTGCATGCATAAAATTCCTGCATGATTCCAGTGGTGGGTGCAAGGTTGATTTCAGAGGCTAAGGGTTCAAATCACCCAGAGTCTCACCTCCCCACGTGTATGGGTGCTGACCCTGGCCCTGGGTGGAGCCAGCCAGGAATGTCATGACATTCTACCTTGGCTTCCTCAAAGTATGGTGGCTGAATGAGATGAGCTGCTATCCCAAGAGCCACTAGCCACTCCCAGGTAGTCTTAAGGCTTGGGGCCAGAAACTGTCACAGTGTCACGCTGTACTTTACTAGTAAAGCCCTCACAGCTTACAGACTGTCTTCTACCTCTCAATGGCAGGAGTGTCAAAGAATTTCAAGTCCATTTTTAGAACCACCATAGTCAGCACTTCCATTCCCTCAAGGATTGAGTTGGCATTTTCCTTGAAGAACCTAAAACTATCTCCTAAGGAGACTCCATAAATTGTCCAGAGGCAGCTGACAGAGCAATATGCAAGTTACTTTAATGTCTAAATGATTTCAGGACCAGAGGTGGAAGTCACTGGGCACACTTCACCATATTAGGGCCTCACAGTTCAATTTATGAAGGTGCAAAACAAAATCTCCAGTTTTGTGATTTTTTCCTACTGTCCAAAGAAGAGAAGCATAGTTTACCATTCTTGAAAATTCTGAAGAACTTTGTAGGATTTTTGCATTACCCTGTTTTACTTTTGAATCAATTCTAACTCAAGAAGATAAAATTAAGGAGCTGGGATGCTCAGTGCCAGAGCCTTTGACTGACATGCGTGAGGCCCTGGGTTCAGTCCCCAGTGCCAAAGACAAATGAGCAAACTATATATAGATATACATATAATTAAGAAAATAAGTACCAAGGGGAGAAAAACGTTAAGAGTAGAAAAAAGCTTGTATCTTATGGGAAGTGTTTAAGACTTTAGAATATTTGATGTTAAATGTTCATAATCATCCTTAATATATAAAAATGACGATTGCTCAATTACCATACAAGTATTTTAAATTTTTTGAAACTTAAATTTTGTTTTCAAACTGTAAAACTAGCTCCACTGTAATATTAATAACCAGGTAGAACTAGGATTCAAGTAGAAGAATGATTTTCATGACGTCTGAGCATTTAGAATAGTAGCCAAAAACAGATTAAAAATGCACATTCTCTACCCTCAGGATGGGAATTCATACCAGAAACATCTTTCAAGGAGGTTATATCTACAATGATTCTTAACGGACACAGTTTCTCCCAATTTGAAACTGTGCCGAAGATGCTCGCTGACTAGCTGAGAAAGGACGAGAACAGTGATCGGCCTCAGACACAGAGGATGGCTCTCAGGTGTCTTCCTCTGCCCTTCCTATGCTCCTGGAGCACAAGACCCATCTGGACTCCCCCCCCCCCCCCCGCCCCGCCGCAATCACCTGTGGAGCTACCGGCAGGGCTTTCTCTGATGGTTTCTTACCTAGGGCTGTGTTCCCAAAAAGCAGGTCTAGAGATGTGGGAAGTGCAGCCACTCAAATAAAAGTGACAGTGAGATTGAGATGCTGATGAATTAATCTGGAATCTTTAAGATAATTGATTTTGTTTGCCCTGTGCTGACTAGAAAAGCAAAAATTGATTCAGTCCAGAAAATTTTCTTCATAAGCATAAAAATGACAATATTCTAATGCCATGGGATATTCTTATGCCCTCATTGACCCAAAACTAAACAAGCTTTTTTTTAAATCTCAGTTTTAAATAATATTGATCATATACCTTGATTGGTGGCACCCCCTGCCCAAACACTGATTGATTGCTTTGTGCCTGGTACTCTTTTAGGCACTTGGGAGTCATCAGTGAGTAAAACAGGTTCTGCCCTCTTGGAACTTATATTTGATCAGGAAAATACAGATACAGGATAAACAAATGGATAATATACTATATTTTATTTATTATAGAATCATTTATGCTGTTAAGTATATTTACATATGATGCATGCTGGTTATTATGTTTGCCCCTTGTATGCATCAGAGTTCTCCAGGGAAATAGAACCAATAAAATATACACAGACATGTAAGAAGAGTTGATTGGGGCTGGGGTTGTAGCTTTGTGGCAGAGCACTTGCCTGGCATGTGTGAAGCACTGGGTTCAATCCTCAGCACCACATTAAAAAAATAAATAAAGGTGTGTGTGTGTGTGTGTGTGTGTGTGTGTGTGTGAGTTTATTATGAGATACAGCTGGTGAGATGACAAAGGCCAAGGCCCACAGTATGTTGTCTAAACACTGGTGGAATCATTCAGTCTGAGTCTGAATGTCTGAAAGTCCTGAGAGCCAAGGAAGAAAATAGTGTCACTCCATGTCCAAGGTCAGAGGCCTGAGAACCACAAAGCGGGTAGGACACCAGTGTAAGTCCTAGGGTCTACAGGCCTGAGAACCTGGAGCTCTGCTGTCCCAGAGCGGGAGAAGATGGACATGCCAGCTCCAGAGAGGGTGGATTTGATGTTGCTCTGCCTATGAGGACCCTCGGTGGGTTGGGTGATGCCCACCCTCATTGGTGGGGCCAATATTCTTTACTCAGTCTACTGAGTCAAATGCTCATCTCTTTAGAAACACCTACACAGAAACATTCAGAAATGAGGGTATCTCTTAACCCAGTCAAAATCAATGATTGCCTGCCTGTCCCCCACTCCAGCCTCAGTCCTGCCCTGTGCCTGTGGAAGCACCCGGGCTTCCTGGGCCAGGGTAGATGCAGTGGGTCACGCCTTTCCTGCTTCATCTCGGAAGAGTCTGGGCCCCTGCCCACCATAGTTCCTCTGAGGCCGCTGCTTCTTCCGAGGACCTGTCCCTTTCTAGACCCAGGACCACACTGCCTCCTTTGTGCCCTCCTCCTGTTTCTAGGGTCTTGGTGTCCCTTACAGTCCCTCACCTTGACCACAGCTCCCTGGCCAGCCCCTCTAGGGAACCCTCTTGAGTTACCTGCTGGTGTTTCTGAAAAGGTTCTAACTCATCATGGCGTCACTTCTATGTGGAAAAGAGCACCCACAAGACAGGGGGCAGGAGCAGAGTAGGGAGCGCACCCCTAGGGCAGGGACTTGAGAGAAGCTTGAGGCAGCCTTTATTTGCCCCTGTTCAGCCTGATGTTTTCACTTTATTACTTCCTCTGAGCCCTACTTATAAGTCTACTCCAGTTTCTACTCTTCATCCCTGCAGGTAGACCTTCTTACCCAGTTCATGTGTGTTCTTTTGAATATACATGCATGTAGTATAAATTTTTATACATGCACCCTCACACATGTACATAGACACACATGCACACAAACATATGGTCAGATTCAACAGTGAACAATGTAGCATTTTAAATTTACATAGATGGTATTGTGTTGTATTTTATTTTCTTAATTTATAATTCAATGTTATGTTTTTGAGATGTGTTTTTGATGATATGCAGATTCACCTAATTATATAAACTTGTTTTATATTCTATCATTCATATATAATGTTTTATTTGTTCTTTAACTGATGGACACAGATTATTTTTAATAGTTTATTGTTATAAATTATTTCAGTAAATATCCTACAACCTGTGTCTTTGCATATCTAAAATTTTACAGTGAGATCTTTTGTGAATTATGAATCTCTTAAATAAGAATTCTGAATTTCTTAATTGGAGTAGAGCTTTTGCTAAAAAAAAAAAAAAAAAAAAAAAGCTATGCCAAGAAACAATTTTAAATTTAAAAAGGAAATGAATCTAGTCCCATTCTAGTATATTCTACATGAGCAGGAATGGCCTCTTTATTTTGTCACTTTAAAGTGAAATCTGCTGGTTCATAGAAAAAAGAATCATAAATATCAAGACTCCTAATAAAACATTAAAATACAAAATATAAGCAAAACAAAAAGGTGATTTTGATATTTTGACTGCCATGTAACCAGGAGGAAAAATGCAACCAGATGAATTAAAGGAGCTCCAGTTCACTTAAAAATATATAGTCCATAGTTTAAATTCATCTCCACCTGGGCGCCTAAGTTGAGGGAAAAGCGGTAAACCCTGCAGGCATTGTGCAGAAAGTTTGCCCTTCTTCTCTTTGAAATCTGTACCACACGTTTCAATATGAACATGTTCAAAGCAAGGCCCCTGGTGAGTAGCAGCTCCTGAGGGCTTTCGAGCACCTTTGTGCAGCATCCAGGAGGGAAATCAGCTTTAGGGCGACCGGGTGGGGCTGACCTAACCTAACATGATAACTCACGCCAACACAGACCGTGCTTCTGCTTGGACTGTGTGCTCTGCTAAAAGTGAACGTGAAGCTCAATGATGTCTGGGATTGGCTTGCAGATTCTGTTCCTATGTCTTCCCATCCGGGTCTTAAGCAGTCACCAACTCTGTCTTCTCTGTACCCGGAGCACAGCCAGACTCACTTCAGCATATTTTATTAGTCCCTTGGAACTTAAAGTGAATTATTAGCAATCTGAAAAAAATATTTACCAAAGTCGTGGTGACCAGGAAAGAGGGAGGAGAGCAGCCCTTCACACCAAACGCGCCCAGTGCCCACAGAAATGACTCAAGGGGCTAATGGCTGTGAGCCTGGAAGGCACCCAGGACCAGAGGCTGCTGTGTCAAAGAAAGCCCAAGCCTCAAGAAACAGGGGGGGACCGAAGGATCTGAAGGTAAGTGGGGTAACCCCTGATGGGCGGATAACAAAGATCAGATCGGGCAGAAAAAGAAAGGACCCAGATAATGAAGGCCAGACTCCCTGGGCCCCACCCCACCCTGCTCCCCAGCAAGGCAAATATCCCAGCCAAGCCCCACCCGTGGTTGTTGTTTGATTTTCTTTCCTTTTCTCTCCCTGCCAATCAGTCGGAAAGGACGATTCAAACCAGAGAGTATGCGGAGCTATAGGAAAAAAAGAACAGTATATTTCTAGATGCCCTAGTTTAGAGACCGAGAGCTACTCATACCTGAGGGTAGAGACCTCTGTGTCCCTGTCACACAGGGCTCTGAGCCAAGTGCTGTTACATTCAGTGCTCACTGAACTGCAGGCGACCTCCAAGGGGAGTTACAGGGTGCAGTTGCGTGTCTACGTAAGAAAACTGAAGGAAGAAAAGCGCCAGGCGGAAAGCTCCAATCACAGGAGGGCAGAAAGCTGTGGCTCCCTTGGCTCTGGGGTTCTTCCGCCTGGAGCAGGGCTTAGCGCACATTCCACGGGGGTGCTCTCCGCACCATGAGCCTCCTTCTCCACCTCTGCCTCTGGCTGGGCTTCTCCCGCCGACGTCCCGGCCCTGCCACTGAGGTATGCTTGCTCCACAGACAGTGACTTCTGTGGACCAAAAAGGTGACATGAGACCTAATTCCTGAGTTCCCATCTGCTCTGTCTTGGGTGTACACCCTGGAACTCATGTATTGGAATTGTAACCCAAAGTCATGTGTGAATGCCATCTGAAGGTGATATTTAGAATTAGACCAGGCCATGAGGGTGGCATGTCATGATTGCCGCAGTGGCTTTAGAAGATAAAAAAGAGACCAAGATCGCAGGCTTGTCCTGGACACTGCAGAGCCCTCAGTGAGAAGGACCGCCCCAGATGCGGCCACCTGTCTTGAACTGCTCAGCCTCCAGAGCCATGAGCAAATGCAACTCTATCCTCTATAAATTACTCAGTTAGTGGCAATCAGCCAGAGCAAGAGAAAACAGCCTGGGACGTCCTCTGTGCCTTGTGAACCTTCTCAGACTTTACAGAAGGCACTAACTACCCAGTCCCCCTCTCTGAAACTCTGTCAGGGAATCTGGCTCCTGTCCACCTCTGACAAGGGATCATGATCTTCCTGAGCCTCATGTGGGTGCAGAAGGCTCCTTGTCACACCTGGGGACCACAGGAGTGCTCTGTGGTACTTCCTCCTGGAGGGCCCCTGGGCAAGCCTTTCCCCGCATGCCAACTACGTGCTGCAATTCCTTACTCACTGAGGTGTGCGTCCTGTCCTTCTCCCTGTGAACACCCCAGGATTTGTGTCCCCTCCCTGGCACTGGATCCTGGTAGGTTTCCCAAACACCACTCAGCTGGTTTTATCCGGCTCTTCCTAATCAAGGCTCACCCCTCCCCCTGCCCCTGCAGTGGGTTCTATGCGTGTGAAACACACGGCCAGCAACGATGGCCATCTCCCAAAGGCAGCCCGTCTGGGTATTTTTTCCTCAGGAGAAAAGAAAATATGGAACATGAAGACAGTGATCCCGAAACCAGTCAAGGAGTCTCTGAAAGTCGCCGTGAAGCTGCGTCGAGGGACCGATGCAGTAAAGAGATCCAGCGCCCTGCAGCGCAGCCCTTGGTCCCTCCTTGTCCGCAGCTGCCACTTTCCACTGGACGCCTGTCTATCATGTAGCTTTAGTTTCGTAGGCTCTCCTGGAGGAGGCAAGCACCAAGAA